TCTTCCGTGCCTTGACATTTAATCAAACGAAAACTAATATGTCCGTTAATGCTACGTTGAAAACGTATTTTTGCAAAAAAGTTTTTTAACCATTTATCAATTTGATTCTCTTCCGATATTTCTGAATTGGTACTTTCCATTTTTCCCACAGGTAGTAGATTTTTAGTATCGTGATCTACTCTACATGTGACATTCGCTACTACTCGAGAATCCTTTACTGTGGTACAAGTTATATAATGTTCACCAGGTAAATCTCTGACTAACAACCACTGATTACGCTCACTGATATCGTGATTAAATTTGAAATCACGTCGGCTGTTGGGTAAAATATATTTATAACGTTCGATTAGTCCCTGCACACCAACTGCTACCAATATATTTCGGAAATTACTGATGAAGCCACTGTCGTACATATTCCAGAGATCGTTGCTTGACGACAACAGTGAATGTGGAGGTAGCGGTATACTTTGTGCTTCACATTTTTGATATAATTGTAAACAGTCATCCAATACAGTTGTTTCTGCAAGTCCAGGTATAAAACTAGCACATCCTAACAGCTCCATATGCGGTTTTGCCAATGCATCATAATAAGCAGGACTGGTGGCACAAACAGGTATATATACAGTGGGCTTCTCTTTTTTAATAATGTGACATAATGCAGCTATGTAACTGTCAACATTATTTAATGATGGTCTAGGTACCACATAAAATTTATCCACTGCTGTTGAAAAACGCGCGAGTCCAAATAAACCATCGAACTCAAATACAACAACACGAGCACCTGATGAGTAAAAATTTCGTGCCAAGTGCAATGTTTGAATTGTACTACCACAACTGATGAGAATTGTACGTTTATTATTTGATGATGCATTTTGTACAGAGACTGCGTCAGAATTTATAATCCATTTCACTAATCCAATGGGTATACGTACCAATTTTAAAAATATCCACAGTAGTGCTGAAAGCCAAAAACTTGGTGCTGCTATGGACAAAGGAATGTAGAGTATAAAACGAACCAGAACCATTATCATGTTAAGTAGCAAATTTGGCCAAAAAAGTAGCACCTTTCGCATGCCATTTGATATGGATAGTGTGGATTTTTGTGCAATTAATTGTCGTCTGTCATCTTTGTTAACTGCGTTGGAGTCCATATCACTTGTTTCGGCTAGACTCTCTTGACTTGGGTCTTCTGGAATTAAGTCCAATGAATTAATACGTCTAAATTTAGAGCGTGTGAAACGCATTTGCCGCGTTTGATCCTGTTTAATTTGATAATCCTGTAACATTTTATAGTTGCACCAACTTTTTTTAATATTATTCGTCTTAAATTAATCCAGTATTTGTAAAAGCTATTCTCAATAATCTGACAAGATATTGAAGCGTTGATTCGCGCGATCACAATCCACTGAATTGTGCAACAATAATCAATAAGACACTAAATGTTATTCTATGAAGAGCTCATCTTTTAAACTTTGATTATTGGTAGCGAAATTCGTATAGAGCCATTACGGACACTGCTGTACCGCACTACACTGCAAACACGACTACAACTGCTGCTCTCAAAGCTGATAGATTTCTGAATTCCGAGTGATTTCTGGTTTATATATGCACATAATACACATTTTAAGATATTTTATGTATATATAATACATTTAAAAATATATTTAATTACGGACACATATACCACGTCTGAGTCTACTTTATTAAATAATTTCGATTTACAGACGTGCAATCATTAAATAGATTATTTATGTTTATATAAACATTTATATATATGTATTAGCATTAAAACTTTTCTTCGTTATAAGTCTGGGATTCATGCAATACTGCAACTACAGAAATTGCACATTATACGAGTCCGAAACGAGCTCGCAAAGACAGTTTAGTTTCGTCGAACAATATCAGTGCCTTAAAATTTCAGCGATTCGCAGTCTATAATCTCGTACTTTGATCCTAAAGCTTGTGTTGTTATTCAAGTAATTATTTTGCCTAAATGATTTTCTTTTCTTTTTTGTCTTTTGTCTTTGTTTTGTATTTTTATATTAATTTGTGTAGTCATATATGGACAGATAGTATATTGTATCACCGCCTTAGTTCCAGTATGTGTTGCTGATAAGACTTTCTGTTGTATCATTTAGCAATTTGCAGGAAAAACACTTGATGCCGTTTGAATAAATAAATAAAAAATACACTACTTCAAAAATCAAAAGGAAATGTAAATATGAAAATTATAGAGAAAGTTAAATATATATATCTCCTATGAATCAGTCGCAACAGGTGCTTTAATGTAGATTTGTTGTCACACACAAGTCATTATTAGATTACAGGTCTTGAGTTTTATATTTTTACAAATAGTGAGATTAACACATTAAATTTTATTCAAAGTCTGTTTTGACTTTTTACACATAATCACCTCTATAGTTAACTGATGCTTAAATAATATATAATACTCGTTATGTGATTACAAGTCTATAAATGAAATTTAATAGATAACCTAAATCATAGCTCTTTTCATAGTATAAATCAAACTAATAAACTCCTACAATTTTTTACTTCAGTTGGGAAGTTCGTTATGGATACGGTATGTTATATTGCATGTATTCAAAGTCGGTAATAATGATTTACACTTACCCACCTTCATACTTACTTATACGAAAGTATGAAGTATTAATGGTATTATAAACACTTTAAGAATATAAAACGCACAATATGCAAAAAATACGTAAATTTGGACTACAAATTTGAATAGCGAGCTTTCTCTATTCATTACTGTTCTACCAACCTTGTCTTAGATAGGGAATTGATGCATTTATGCGTGACCAGTGACTGCTTTTCATATGGCTACATCCTGATTTCAATCTTGCTGCTCGGTGATTGTGTCGATCTTTCTGGGAAATGTTGGGCGGGGTCCTATTGATAATTTTGTGGTATCCGTGGTATCGAAGAGGATAGTGCATCAGTGTAGTTCAGGCTTATATTCGACCTCACTTGTGTTAGCTACATTCCAATCGGTGTCGATATATCATGTGCTTACATAGTTAACATTTATGTTGTCGGTTCGGAATTTAACAATTAAGTTGGAAATATTTTTTTTAAAAAATTGAGTTTTAGTGTATCGCTTCAATAGCTTGACCATTGCAGTTCCTTTCAGGCAGAAGTAATGGCAATTCACTGAGCAGCAGTAAAGTGGGTCTTGAGCTATAGCATTTCTAACATGATTATCACAATCTTTTCTAATAACCACGCTGCAATTAAATCTCTGATAGTTATTTCAGCGGCTTATCTTGAGTTCTAGAGTTCTAGCTCTAGAATGCCGGGCTTCTCTCAATGAGTTGTCTAGACTTGTCGGTTGTCTCGAGCAACTGTGAAGTAAACGACCTTGTCGATTTAGGCACACTATTCTGTGATATTCACACTGTTAACAAATAAATAAAGTAAATGCTTGCGATAGATATCAGTATTCTAAATATATAAGATATATTAAGCGAATAAAATGAACGCAAACAAGAAGAGTACTTTTATATTTAAAATACATAATAATTTTAACAAAATTTAACAAAATAATTTAAAGTAATCTTTCTAATTTCTCTTCATAGAACGACCACAAATTTACAATATAGAGTGGTGTCTGTTTATTTTCGCAATTTTGATTGTAATAATTTATTGAAATTTCTTTTGATTTTCTCCCATATTCTAAAATAGGGCTTATAATATCTTAAATTACTTCTTGTAACTTCATATACTTTAAAAGGGGATCCAAAAGGGGACTCAAACGCATACAATTTTCGGTACATTTACAAAATATTTATTTTGTTAAAGAGCGAATAAGTTTTATAAAGTACTTAGTGGTACATAAAGTATTTTTTAAAAACTGCTATAAACAGTTTTGAGAGCCATCCAGGCCGCACTGGCCTCTATTTTCTCTCAGCCAGATATAAAAGACTGTATTTTATCATGGATCTTTTTTATGATAAATAAAACATAAATTAAAAATATGAAGACCTCATTAAATAAATAATAAGAAAATAAAAATAAATATGTAAACATTGTTAGATCGATTTATGCTTTTACGATTAAATATACGTCTTGGAAGTATATATCTTCTACATTTCACATAATGCGTGTTTTTCGATACACCAAACCTTTGACTTATATATTTTGAAAGCATATTGGAAGATTGTAAATAACGTAGCTGCCAGAATGAATTTTTAAAATGTATACCCTGGCTGTTGTTTCTATCCACCAATCTCACGAAAACAAATATAAAAATAGTTCTATTTAAAGCTTCATCTTTTATTATTCTTAATATGTTTATTTGTACACAAAACGACATAATAAACCCAAAATTCATTAGTTCGATTACAAAATTTTAGACTTAACTTGAGGTACATATGTATAACAAAACGTCAAGGTTGCCGAGGTTACAAATTTAGAATTCTCCAATGTGATGATTCTATTCATTTATTTTAATAAAATTTTTATAATTTAACAATTAATTTTTTTTTTGGAGAGATAAGAAAAAGCGAAAATATACATTCTATATAAAAATTACCTTTCCATACAGACAGAGATACAACTTTCTATACATTTGTATGGTGTGCATAAGCATTATTTTAAGACATTTGATAACCTTGTACTAAATGCAGTTTTTTTTAATTATAAATAAGTAATCAAATTACAGTCGCAATAACATTTCAACCTGTGCAGCAACAGCACAGTTGTATAATTACCAGATTGGCATAATATCTACCAGGGTACTTATTTTATTCAAAACAAAAAAAAATTAATTAATTTATATATTATACTATGTTCAGATATACCTTAATTTCACAAAAATCTTGATTTCATCTTCGTTTCAATGAAATGAAGTTGTTTTTTTCATACAAAATTAAGTTTTGAGGTTAGGACGAAATTAAGGAAAATGTTCTTAATTTCGTTGAAACGAAGGCTGAAATTAGGGGACATTTCAAAAGCAACTATACGGAATATAAATTTTAAACAAAAGAGAAAGTTGAGATAACGAAAAAGTGAAATTTTTTTAAAATAAGTGTCAATGACAGTTTATTTTAATTAAACTGGGAAATATTTTGAAAGTAGTGAATATTTTTAAATTTGAATACAGAAAAAGAACTTTAACTGTTATCAATTTAAAATAGAGTGAAAAATAATAATTCACATACCTGAAATCCACTAAATCTAATAAAACGACTGAATGCCATCCTTTATAGTTGTAATAATAAACTTTTAAATTTCCTACATACAAATGACGTTTGGAGCATGTAAATTTTAATATTCGATTTTTAAACAAAAACATATGATTTCCTTAATTTGGGGTAGTATAAACACTTTCGAAATTAACTTAATTTAATTTTAACGAAACGAAATTAAACATCATATGCTCAATAGATATGGGGATATGATAAGATCAGTAGGATAATTAATTTATTTAATAAACTTTTACTCTTCTCTCAAACAGTTCTATAAGATGCTATTTAGTGTTAGGTTCTGTAATAGGTCAAGGTCCTCAAGAAAGGTGGCTCCTAGAATATTAAGTCGACGCTGTGCATGAGCTGGGCAAAAATCGCAGCTGCGACAGATTTAATTGAAAGGGAGACCTAATCTTCTAGCATAGTTCCCCAGTTTACAGTGACCTATAAGTAAACCTACCAAAAGACCGATATCTCTACGGGGTATATCAATGAGCATTTTGGATTTCCTTTTTTCAAACGTGGCCAGTTTGCATACAGATGCCTGCATATCGTTGAGTCTTTCCATCTTCTATTAAAAATTTCAGTACAGAAAGAACTCAGTAATTATTTGCATGACACATGACATTAACAGATTAAAAGTATTTCAGTTATAAATCTTATTTGCATCGGAGAGACTTAATCGATTAACAACGTCGTCGTTGTTACAATCTTTTTCAGAAATTCAATAATGCTATGCTATCATAATTCAGTAATCATTAAATGGGTTTCTGGACATTTTATAAACCAAATAACGTAAATTAATTAAAGTTATCTCACAAACTCTGGCTGAAATTAAACATGAAAAGTTTAACACAAGATTTTAAAAGAGCAAAAGGACTAATTAAAGAACGAAGAGGTTATCTCAGATTTAAACGGCTTTTTATAAGTTTCAAGTTTTTGTTTCTTTCTATTTTATTTAAAGTATAATTAAAATATCAAAATATTTAAAAGATCAAATTAATCTTAATGCTACTTAAGAACTCCACCGTAGGTATTTCTAGTGAGACTTACATTCATCTTTTAATATTTTTAATTTTCTTGCTAAGAGGTGGATAGGCTGTAAAATTCTTATATCTAAGGTCGCTTGTGACAAGAAATTAAAAGCACTATAAGAAAATACAGGTTAACAACATTCGTTTGGATAACTGATCGTATGAAATTTAAGTTCTTCAACTCTCTTTATAAGATCCAATACTTTCTACTGTGAATACCCAGCAAATCAAATAACAGCAATACTCAGAAATATTGATAATAAATTATTTACGAATCATACGGAAATACTAATTTAGTTAATCCAAGAAGTTAGTTTAAATCAACAATAGCTAGTCTTAGTCTAAACAGATCAGAACTTACATTAATCACTGTGACTTACAGATT